TAACTAATAATTAGTATACACTAAGGTGCTTATTACTATAAATGTAAGCTTAGCTTTTTATTATTTAAACATGACATACTCTACATGCAAGTTGCTTACACACCTAAGTTGCTTACTTTTACTAAGACCCTACTAAACTTCTCTTTCTACACTAATATATTTCTAACAACACTACTTAGATGTGCTAAAAGAACATTAGATACAGTTTACACTTTAGGCTTTTAAATAAAACATAACGCTTTTAAAGTAATATACTGCAGCTATATATAATGTCTTTTAAAAAATAATAAATAACTAACACACTAAATAACTTTTATAAATTAATTCTATAGCTAACTTATAAAAGCTAGGTAATAATAAAAAGTAGGTAATTATTAAGCACATACTTAAGCTACATGCGTAAGAATTTTCCTCTTAGCTAGCAGCACATAAAAAATATCTTAGCATAAGATTTAAAAAGAAGATATTAGATTAACCTATATTTTAGAATGTTAAGAAGACAGTAGGTAGAAGTAAATTATTAGACATAAAAGCGGTACCTTATAATAAGTGTTACAACTACTTTGTATAGTTAGGTTGTGTAGTAGGGTTTAAGCAACTACCTAAGCTGTACTAGCTACAACAAGCCTTAAAAAGAAAAATAAATAGTAAGCGTTTTATTCTATATAAGTTTATTTGCTTACTAAGCTTTCTAGGCGTTCTTACTCTAGAAGAGCAAAATTAGACTATAAGTTATTACAGTAATACTTACTAGCAATCTTATATACTAGATTTAATTAAGTGTAATTTCTAGTTAATCTACTTTAGAACTCTATTACAAGAGATGAGTAAGCTTTTATAGAATTAATAGACAAGCAAAAGCTTAAATTTAAGTTAGAACTTAATTAACACTTTAAAATTTTAAATCTTTGTGTAAAATAAAAATAATATAAGTAAAATATTAGCTGTTAAGAATACTACTCTACTAATATAGCAAAGAGAATAAAGCTATAACGTACCTAACAGGTTGGCCGGCCACACGGGTTGGCCGGCCACTTTTACTAAGCCCCTACTAAACTCTACCTATCTACATAATGCCTTAACAATAACACTAGATTAAATCTTCTAAAGAACGTTAGATATAGCTTACTCTTTAGGCTTTTAAATAAGACTTAAAACTCTTTTTACAACACGCTGCAGCTATCTATAATGTCTTTTACACAACACTAAGTAATTAACGCGCTAGACAGCCTTTATAAGCAGAATGCTAGCTTAAATTAAGGAATCTAACTAAGCTTAAAAAGAAGGTAGTTGTTAAGTACATACTTAAGCTTATTACACGCAGATTTCCCTTTAGGCTCACAGCTGTAGCTAATATAGCTAATTCCTTGCCTACAGAGTGTAATCTAGGCTAGGTTAGCTTAAACTAGACTAGTATGTAGGTTAAGCACTGCCCTAAGTTTATAATAAAGTTTAATTATAAGTATAATTATAAAAGAGCGCTTTATAAGAATCTAAAGGTTATCTAGAGCTAGTTTTGCCTAGTAGCTAACATAAAAGCTAAGTACAGTATCTAGGATAAAGACAGGTATAACTTTAATAAGTTAGGCTTTATAATAGGCTAGATATTAACTAAAGCAGTTATTACAGCTTTAAAGAGACAAAGATAGCTAAAGGTAATATAGTAAAGTAATAAAAAGTAGATAATAGTTATCTAAGGCATTAATGTAATAAAGTAGGCTATAAGATTATAAAGCTTTAAGTAGTAAATAAGGCTGCTACGCAACATAAATTACATAAAAAAAAGCAAATTTAGGCAAAAGAGACTTTAATAGTTAAGAATAGAGCTTATCTAACTGCTTTAAAGGAGTTTAGAGCGTGTAGTAATAGGAAGAAGCTAAAGACGCAGGTGCGCGCTAAAAGAAGTAAGCTAAGTTAAAGGTAATATAAGTAGTGCAATTAGACTAGGCATAACTTGCATATATGTAAGCAAGTAGTAGAAGTAGACTCTAAATAATATCTTATGTTATATTACTTTATACAGGGCTAAAGTGGGCTGTTTTGCGAGAGAATAGGGTGGTTTTAGTAGGGGCTTGGCAAAAGTGGCCGGCCAACCCGTGTGGCCGGCCAACCTGTTAGGTACGTTATAACTAGTATAATAAAGCTGAACATACGCTTTACAGTCTTATAAACATTTTATGTAAATAAACAAAAAAGTAGGCTATTCTTAAGTTTTTCAACACTATTAATAATTATAATATTAAAAGGCAGCTAAGCAGCAATAGTAAGGTAGACCTTTCTACCTATTCTACTATGCTGTATAAGTTTTTAAAACAAGCTGTTATTGCTAGATTACTATTTTAGCTACTAAATAAACTTAAGAAAGATTAAGCTATAAAACTTTATATAAAGTTTATTTATAACCTTGTTAAGTATAGCTGTTAAGAAAAGAGTTAGTTAGGTAAAAATCTAAGTAAGGCTATTAATGTTTAAGCAATGTCTAAAGAAGACTAAGACGTAATAAGCGTAGAACATAGTGCAAATAATGCTAATAGTGCCTGTTAACAGGCAAAGAGGCTAATAGTAGAGATTAGCTTGTTGTGACCTATTTAAGAGGGCTAGAAATAAATACAGAGCTTAGAGATTCTTTTAAGTGCTCTAATTGCATTTACTAGCTATGTTTGCTTTCTTTGTATGCGCATAGAGAGGACCTAATAATTTAAGAAAGAAGGAATTCTTAGGAAAGCATATTAGTGTTTACAAAGCTAAGAGAGATTTTGCGTAGAGTTTTCTTTACTAAGATCCTTCTTGTTTAGAGTAAATTAAAGAAGAAAAGCATTTTAAAAATCACGCTTCCTTTAAGCATAGAGTATAGCACCTAGTTAAGAGGTACTGTTAGGTAAGTTACTATTGCTATAACTTAACTAGCCTAATCTAAGTCAGCAGATAAGCTGGGCAGACTAAAGGACAACCACCACTTTAACAAGCATGTAATATAAGATTACTGCCCTATTAAGGCTAGCAGGAGCAGTTAAGGAGAATTTACCCCTTTAACTGCTCCCGCTAGTACGTAGACGCACTAGAGAAGGGGTGTAAAGCCGGAGCGCGATTGGATGCGTCTCGGTATAGGGGTGTCTCCCTATGTAGGGATGGACGTTATATATAACGGTCTAGTTATGTAAATAGAAACATGTAAAGTATTAGACACTAGAGTAGTTCTAAAGGATACATTTCATGCTAAAGTAAACCGCATCGAAGCATACCAACTAAGGGTACTTTATTTTATATGAATAGAACTCGAAGTAATAGCATGTGAACTGCTCCACCCGACATTCTTCAGAGTAGTACACTGCTAATATAGACATTATTTTGAATAGTTTGGGCCGAAGTAAGAAGGAATTAGTTCGGCCTGGAGTGGTTTAAACTGAAGTGTTTTGGTTGGAAGTAGCCCAAACCAGAGTACTCTAGGTTGGAATAATTCAAGCTGAAGTACATTAGATTAGATTAGTTCAACCTGGAGTGGTTGAAACCCAAGTATGTTAGATTGGAGTGGTTTAAACCGAAGTATTTTAGATTGGAGTGGCTTAAACCGAAGTATTTCAGATTAGAGTAGTTCAAACCGAAGTATCTTAGATTGGAATAGTTGAAACTGAGGTACTTTAGATTGGAATAGTTTAAGTTAAAGTAGTTCAGAATGAAATAGTTTAAATTGTAGCACTACAAATCTAGAGGCTTGGCTACGTCCTAAGCCTATTAGTTCCTCCCCAAATTGGAGTTGAAATTCCCATACAGCTTAGCTAACAGGGGTGGAAATAGTCCCCGGGGTTCCATATTTGACCCGACGCTGGGGTTAAAATACTACCCCCTGTTGCTGCTCATTTGTGATACTGCTTCGCGGCTTCCTATAGCGGTTGGTGGATGATCCACCACTTCATCCGTCGCTAACACTACACAGAATGCTTCACTCGTATAAGATGCTATAAGACCGCCACGGTTCTAAGACCTTCGACAGCAAACGTGGCATCTATTAACGAGGAATTTGCTCAGCAAGCCGAGAATCAGCGGAACATTAACAAAGCTCAAGACTGCATGGACCGCTGCAAGGACCTGGCTCTTCCAGCTCTGGTGGATGACGTTACTAAGCATACGTTATCCCAAAAAATAACTGCTTGTCCACAATTAGGCTTAGCTAAATATAGTGCCGAAAAGGGGTTTGAAAACAGGAATCCAGGGGCCAGAAAACAGGAACCTTGTGCATCAACGTAGCTGAAGGTTGTGCGGAGGAATGCGCCAGTGTTGAAGTCCGTAGCTTCATAAACGTTTTTCACGTCGGTTGTTGATTGGATATCAGGGGACAGGACAGCGCCCGTTCGTGCCTTCCAGCAAACATATTTCTATCTCAAAAGTCTCTTATAACATGCTTCTTGCACCAGTCTCGATTTGCGAATGTCAGCAAGATCTATGTTGCCCAGATAAACCGGCACATGGATCCCCTGGATTGGACGGAGGAGTTTGTAGACGGTAGCGTCCTGTTTAAGACAATGGACAAAGTCGATAGGAGTGCACTTAGTTGCGACGGTGTATCCGTGCAGTTACAGTCGGACACGGAATAAGACGCCGCATGCTCCAGGCAGACTCACAGGCTCGCAGTTGGTATCGAGGTCGTTAGAGAGTTACTGGCGAATACAAGCCAGAACGGTAGGTCAATCGATCTTGTGGCACCTCACCCCGTAAGTTTGCACGTTGGGACACTACATGTCAAGCGGACCACCTTAAACTAATCCACGCAAACAATCCTGTGTGCAGTACTCTCCACTCTGATCTCTTTGGGTGGCATGAAGGCTAGACGAGCTGTCAGCGGTGGCTGGGTCACGATACTGATCTTGGGGTGGGAGTCTGCGTTGGCTTGGGGTATCGGGATCAGGGTCCTCGTCACTGGGGCTATATTGATCCTGTGGCTGCCAGCAGCTTAGAGAGCTGGTTTAATCTGGTCTTGGTCGCAGCCAGACAGGAGACCTGGTTTAATCTGGTCTTGGTCGCAGCCAGACAGGAGAAATCCGAAGAAAATCGCTATGACGAGGCGGTTGGTACTCTGATGATAGTGCGTCTTCTGGAGGAATAGTATTCAGCAGGTCTTCATACACGACTTCCCAGCTGCTCAGCTGATTGGCAGCCTGGGCCCTCCACTGCTGACCCCGCGGGGGGGTCTTCAGCGCCTGGAGATTGAATGCTAGCATCTGCCCAACAGCTGTTAGATGCAAGCGATTCGCGATATCTGGATCTAGTGTCCATCTAGTGGTAGTCCCGACATCACCCTTTAGGACAAATAGGAAGTAGTAGACTGTCCTAGGATCATTAGGCACCTACAAGAATACAAACGCTTCGCCAGTACATACGCAACCATACTCTACCCTAATCCTAACTATATAAGAGAATGCTTGCGCAATAACCGCAGCAACTAGGCAGCAGATGCGGTCCTGCGGAGTATCAGCTTCGCCACACCATATCACCTCCTCAAGCTCCATATCTTTCAGACCCTCGCATATGTAACTAAGAGGTGGCTTGTAGGGGGCCTTGTATTCCATAATGAAGGCTGCAACGCGATTCTCTTAGTTCTAAGTGCTAGTGTTGTAGACGCAGAACTAATCCGCGCAGGGACAGGAGGACCGTGCCGTTTCTGAGCGCGGGGCCGCTACCGCGGGCTCTGACTGACCTGGTGGCTCCTTAGCCAGCAAGCGTGGTGACCGTCGCTGTCAATTGCCAGACATTGACATTTGCTCCATGCTGTTCGCCAGAAGGTCTGGAGTAAGGATGTTGGCATGATTCTTGAAGCTTATGGATCCTTGCAAACCAAACTTTATTAATGTTCCGCCAATTCTCGGCTCACTAAGCAAATCCCTCGTCAATAGGTGCCCAGTTTGCTGTCGAAGCTCTTGGAACCGTGGCGGTCTTGTACCATCTTATACAGGTGAAGCTTCTGGTTGTAGAACTTAATTCTGTATATTCCATGTGGGTAGTGCGTCCGTATGGGTGGAAAATGTATGCGTTATGACTCCGTGCCTAAGATGAATGTTATATAGGTGAGAGGACCTTGAGATAGCCTGTGATGTTCATTATTAATAGAACTATAAAAGCCTAAAAAGGCAATGCCGCAATTTCAACAGCATTTTATTCAGTGCGAAACGCTAGAACGTACTAATATGAACTCTGAATCAAGCCATTATGCCTGAAGATCGAGGACCTACCATGCTGCTAGAGGCAGTCATTATGCGGAATTCAATCCAGCCAACAGAGCACCCGGTCCCACAACAACAAAAACAGCGGAGAGCTAGAAGATTTAATGACAAAGGGGCGTAGCACTTTCAGTAATGCATCCAGGTGTGCTACATCGGCAACCAGAAGTGCACTTCTAAGTAACATTGCCTTCCTAGAACAAGGCATATTTACCAAGCATCTGAGTTTTTTTAGTATAATAACAAGGCCCCGCGGCACGCTGCTTTCAGGCGAAGAGTGGCGTCTCAGCATAAAGCCGCGTGTCACAGCTGAAAATATGATCGTACGACAGTGGTATCTGAGCCACACGGGCTGTGGGAATGGGGGATTCCCAGCCGCGGAGCATCCACATTGTCTATGATCCTTAAAGCCAGTGTTGCAGGTGTGGTGATGGCCCTTAGCTGCAGATGAATTGACGACGTCCTGCCATTTATGGCCTAGGACACTTGTGTAGTTCGCCATTCGGTTGCATCAAGCCTGCTGGCGCTTAGATTAAAATGCATGACACCGGGAGTAGATGGATACGGCCGCATGAAGCTGTGTCTAAGTTAGTCACATTTTCAGTGTTCCTGGACTTCATAAGAGGTTGAGAAGGTGGCTGCAGTCGCTTCCATCCCTTTTAAGGCCAGGTGAGGCATAAAAGATAGGGTGGTGATGTACGACGAGCGAGCCTGTGCCAGCAAGGCTGATTGCTCTCTCCGCTGTCGCTACAATGTGGCAATGCTGCTACGAGACAGTGGAGAGGCAGCCCATGCCGCGTTGCATGATCCTGAAGGTTGAGGGGTCGCGCAGCGATTATGCTAGAAGTATCTGTGGCTGGCTATGGACTAGAACGCTGTCAGCTATGCCTTAATGTCCTATGCCATTGCCTCGATCGAGCGGTATCCCGTGTCTATCCCCTAGTCAAATCAGGCGCTGCCTGGATCGCCGATAGCCCGAAACCACAGGGTGGGCCTCTAAGCAGTGTGTGTGACCGCGAAAGTGCCATAGTCCGAGATATCTCGATGCCGCCAGTGCGCAGGATACCCACCACAAAGCAGGATGGGCAAGGCCTTGGATGAACTCTGTGGAAGGCATTGGCCGTGCCCGGTAAAGGCAGTAGGGAGAGGACAGGCTAGGGTGGGCCTGATGGCTAAATCCAACCACTGTGGTGAGATGTGGTAGAGAGTGACTGAGCAAGACAGAAGGTACAATGTAGCTACTATCGACATCAGAGTTCATCTGCCTTACCTGGTAGGCGCCATCGACTAGAGGGAACAGCGTACCGCGATGCATGACAAGGATGTTCACTACCCGGCTCTCAGCCCTAAAAAAGATATGAGAAGCGTATCACATAATTAATCCCTAGATGATTACATAATGCCATCCAACCTGCGTCAGGTCCGCGCAGTTACAAAGTCATGCTCGCCGACTAGACATTTATGACTTTTAATTATGCCGTCGGCAGCCTCCTAACGCCCAGTTCGATTGACGTTCCACAAAATCAGGGTAATATCTCCAAGGAGGCACCTTAGGCGGACTCTTAGGGGTAACCCTGCGCCTCTGGATGAAGTTGTAGCGTTCTGTTAGCGGTTTAGAGTGCTGACTGGTTCGCTTTAGAGACAGTAAGGCGTATTTGGGGTTCCTAAGGAGTTGAGAGGCTTAGAGGCGCCACAAAGGCTGTTCAAGTTGCCTGTTGATGATCAGCTATAAGTCACTCACTTTACAACTAGCATATTTCTAGTAGCTTTTGTATAACTAAACGTTACCTTCACAGTATACAGTTTATTCACCGTAATCTTCCCTCTATTTTGTATTCTCGCGACTAAATTGCCAATCGCAATCCCACAGTCATGCCCCGGATCGCGCCATATTTCGACCTCCTTGGCGAATACGAGAAATCTAATGCTCTATATACACTCCTCGTCTATATTCCAGACCCGATTCCAAGAAGGCTTTCGCGATAGTGGCAAAGGCATTCTGAACCACTAGACTACTCTGACTACAACCCTATTATTCACCATTGCCTCAGCGGCATCCACCCCAAATTTGCGCCACTAGATAAGAAGTCATACGTTTTAAGCCGCAAAGACGTTATAGGAATTAAAAACACAGTTATGAAAATAAAGGCACCTGATTTCCCGCTAGAATTCCGATGTTCGCGTATCCAGAATGGGAATGGGCAGAAGTGTTGTTTTCAAGGCTGTTATATATTAGAGACGCAGAGTATCCTAAAGAAGGAGGCAAGAAGAAAATATTTAGGGCCTAGTTAGAGGTGTGCGATGGACTGCGAAAGGCATTAATGGGGTGGCAATAACAAGAGTGATGCGAATAGAAGACGGTGTTTCAGGGAGAAGGGTAGGCGGCTTGTATGCATTAAAGACGCGATAGTAGATATGTTCTAGCCCTACCCATACCATTCTGAAATTATCTAGCCTTCTGAGATTTAAGCTAAGTTCAGTACACTCTTATATATAGTTTGGAGTGGTGCCTGATTCGTCTCCGAGACTGCGGGGCAAATTTGGTGGGTTTTCAGGATATGGGAAGTTTGAAGGCTGTTTATGTTGGCCGCGGATGCCACAGGACCCCCAGTCTGATGGGTGCAGAAGTTCCACGGACGAAAAGCATTGATGAAGAATGTTGAAGGAAGCAGTACGGTGACATCCATCGGGCCGCTTGGCCCGAAGGTCGTCGTGTGGCAGGACATGGAGGGGTAAGAGGCTTCGCTCACCCGCTTCTGTTGGCCAGGGGGTGGCATGAACGGCAGGGTGGCGATGTACTGGTAGAGAGTGCCTTTGACCTGTCGAAGCCCTCGCTGACAGCACTCCCTGCTTACCGAACAATAATCCCACTACTCTATCTACGGTGTTTAAGCTCACATTCTAGACGTCTTTGTCCTAGACATTGCATATAACTCTACTTATCAAGGCCACAATCTTAAAGGCCTATATGAGGCAAGACCGTACTGGACTCACGTAGGGTCTGTAATTGCCAACTTAGAGTGCCCATGCGCTTCACTATAATTAGACAAAGAGGTAGTAATACGCCACTTGGGTACGTAGTGGCGTAGTGATTATCTACCTCGTACCTGTGCCACACACCAACGCTCTATATCTAGCATAGGTAGAATAAGGCTTCCTCGTGATCAAGCGTCAGTGTGCGGCGGCACATATAAATGTCTGAGCTTACGGAGATTGCAGTGGTGCTGGGGTTCGCTTCTGACGTCAGCGGGGTATGTCAGGGTACACCCAGCGTCAACACAGTCATGAACACTGAACATTGCTCGATTTCGCAATAACGGTTAAATCACATCGTATACGTTTGATCGACCCACCGCGAAGACTGTTGCGAATAGATCTCAAATACCATCCACGTCGACAGAATGACCACTACAACCCCGCGGGCCGAGGTCAAACTCAAGGCTCCAGGAACGTGTTACCTCTCAAACGAACCTCCCTTCTATTTCATTCTCGATAGTAGGCTCTCCGACAGTGCAGAGCGAGCGATCTTTCTTGAAGATGGCTTCGCGGGTTCTCGAGATTACCAGCCCATCAACTCAAACCGGGTCATCCAGTGTTTCGACTATGAAACTGGCGAACAAGTACAGGTCCTCCACCAAGGCAACCAGCCTGTCTTTTCCGACAGTGGCTACAGCCGATTTACGACATCCAACTGCCGTGAGCCTTACGACCTACCATTCATAACCTCCTCGCTCCGGCCAGGTAGAAAGTACATACTGCGCTTCAAGCCGACAACCTCGATCTCGCACTGGCCGGCTAGTGTAAAGGATACTTTAAACTCTCTTACCGGGGTATATAGCAGCTCAGTTTCTACGCCAGACATTCCCGCGCTGTCCACACAAGCCATACTCTGGGAGGCTGCTGACGGCAATGACACGATTATCTTCAAAACCCGGAGCTTACAGCCAAGCACACCAAATGTCACTGTCTCTCTATCAGCGCCATCAACATGCTCCTTATCCAAGCCTTTTATATTCACGCTCACGTTCTCGACAGACGCTGAATATCCTATCACTGTCCTTGCAGGTCGCTCGGTCGTTAAGTCCGTGTATTCCGATATCAACATCCGAGACTCCACTTCGCGTGTCCAAGACGCACCCAATATTATCGTTTGTCGCGACGATGATGAAGAACAAAGACAAAAATTCCTAAGACTCAAAGGGACCTTCACGGAGCACCGGGAGCTGAATATCAGTGACCCGTTCTGGGAGGAATTGAAGCCGGAGGTTGGAAAGGAGTATATTCTTAGACATTTACCAGGGACGTGGTGGTGGACAGACGAATCGATTGACGAAGTCATGACTTATCTCGGATCAAAGAGCAGTCTTGGTTTGGCATACACTGACTGCATCAAGTTTGTGAGCGCAGGTGAAGTGAGATTCAAGGTAGTAGAGTAGATCTAGGCAAACTCAGACTCTGCACGCAGCTACATGGAGGCTTTTTAAAGTGACCCAGTCCCGTGATATTTTCTTCAAACATGCTCTCGTACTCATCCGACATTTCAAACGATAACACTTCATGAGCCGACATTTGACATGAATGCAGTTATGGGGCTTTGAAAGGTTACTATCGTCGGCGTGGATTCAGTGCGCGAGGCATTGGAGTCAGGAGACAAGATTGCAACAGCTAAGGTCGGCCCAATGTTGAGGCTCTACTTTATCTTTAAATTCGGTTAGGGCTTGTGGAGACTTGTACCCAATGGGCCAGGGAGTTCCAAGACGTTAATACGGTCCACCGTGTTCCGCAATCGGCAGATAAACTCATATTTGCGATTTGCATCGTCTATCTGTAAAGTTTCGCGGGATTCGCTGTGATGATAACCTACCAGTAGAAATGATCACTCCACCACCGTTAATAGACTTCGAACCAACCGAGTTTGCATGCTGAATATTGCCGAGAACAGCCCTGATATTACCGATCTATCCTGGTAGGGCACCGCCTTTACCTTACAGCTTTCAACATTCAGTCAACACCAGACCCAGCTTCGAAGGCTATCATGCATCAAATAGCCTTTTTCTGGGACACCTTATATGGCGGCCTATTTCTAGGATATCTTATCGATGGCCCAGTTCTGGACCACCCCCTTCACTAATATGGCTCATTTCTGGGCTTCATTACCAGCTCACCCCTGCAGCTGTCTTTCGCGTAGAGTTGACAGAAAACCATAACAGGATTTTTTATAATTACGCTGGCTAACAGAGTAGTGAGGCAGTAATTTCAGGATTTCCGTCGTGTCTCCAGCGCTAGTATGTTGTACCTGATGGAGACATCCTAATGGCATTGGGCTACACTTGATTTATTCAGACCTGATGCGCGGTACAAGATTCGCACTAGTTCGGCTAGCGTGCAGGATGCATGGGCATCCATCCGAGGGCGTGATGGTTTCGCAATATCAGACACCACTTAGACTCTGTAGCCGCTACAAGTATGTCTACTTCTTAGTAAGGCACATAAGTTGCAGGGTAGGAAGGAGATGCAAACCCTACTGCTGCTTAACAGAAGGATTAAGATAAGTACTTTACGCTCCTTTAATATAGATGGGCTACAGACGAGCTACATACAACTACGACAACCTTGATGCTGCAAAATTCTAACCAATGCCGCATGCCCGCAATATAGTATTGGGTACCTCCTGTAAGGATTCTCATAAATCGTTCCATCTCGAGTCGCCCGGAACCTATCCGAAGGGTCCCCGTATCGGCCCCGACCCTGACTCGACCTGGCTCCGACCCTGCCCTGCCCCCTGCTGGTACCCCTATTCCCCTAAGCATTTAGTTGCACCTCTCCCCTGTAGCTAGCTTGATAGTTTTCTGATATCCTTTAGTACAAGGCCTATAGGTGTCAATGGAATTCCCAGGACATTGAGTCCCCGCGCACTCCCATATGCCTCTGAGTGGATTCCTACTGCATTCTGATCCATTGTCTTGCCTGCGCTGTTACACCTCCTGGTTTTGCCAGCTTATTTAGAGACCCCGCCTCCTTCAGAGACGCGTCCACCAACTACATCTAGCCTAAACGCTTTAAGGTGTTGCAAATAGACAATATAATTATTTAAGTTGAACAGCTAACCTACACTATAGGCAAGTTGCTTACACATCTAAGTTGCTTACTTTTGCTAAGCCTCTACTAAACTACTTTTTCTACACTAATATATTCCTAACAACACTACTTAAATATGCTAAAAGAATATTAGATATAGCTTATACTCTAAGCTTTTAAATAAGACATAACACTTTTAAAGTAACATGCTGCAGCTATGTATAAAGTCTTTTAAAAATAATAAATATCTAAAGTACTAAATAACATTTATAAGCTAATTTTATAGCTAACTTGTAAAAGCTAGTAATAATAAAAACTACGTAATTATTAAGTATATACTTAAGCTATATATATAAGAATTTTTCTCTTAGCTAGCAGCTATAGCTAATATAACTAATTCTTTACACACTAAGCATAATCTAGGCTATATTAGCATAAACTAGCTTAGTATATTTATAAAGTGTTATTTAAAGCTTAAAGTAAAGTTTAAGTATAACTATAACTATAAAAAAAGCTTTTTATAAAAGTTCTAAAGTAATTTAAAGCTAGTTTAACTTTATATAGAATATTAAAGCTAAGTATATTATTTAGAATAATAACATGTATAACTTTAATAAGATAGGCTTTATAATAAGCTAAATATTTACTAACTATACTTATACTTAAAACTTTAGTTTAAGCTTTAAATAATACTTTATAAACATACTAGGCTAGTTTATCCTAATATAGCTTTAATTATACTTAGTGTGTAAAAAATTAGCTATATTAGCTGTTTGCAGTTACAGAGCTCTCCATGCGCTAGCCACCAACACTCCTTTGGCGTACTGCTGCCTAGCAATGCCACCTGCTGCAGCCTAGAGCTATTGGTGGCCTTAAGTCACATGATGGGTTCATCTAGTACTATATAAACCCGTAGTTGCCCTCCTTTAGCAATACAATCCAGTTTCTCATGTCTTTGGTGCTCCACATAGCTTCACATTAGCTATAGCAATTAGCTAAAAAGAAAAACCTTACACATATAGCTTAATTATGTGCTTAATAATTACCTACTTTTTATTATTACCTAGCCTTTATAAGTTAGCTATAGAATTAGCTTATAAAAGTTATCTAGTGTGTTAGTTATTTATTATTTTTAAAAAAAACCTTATACATAGCTACAGTATATTGCTTTAAAAGTGTTATGTTTTATTAAAAAGCCTAAAGTGTAAGCTGTATTTAATGTTTTTTTACTGCGTCTAAGTAGTGTTGTTAGAAATGCATTAGTATAGAAAAAGTAGTTTAGTAAAGTCTTTATAAAAGTAAACAACTTAAGTGTGTAAGCAACTTGCCTGTAGAGTATGTTAAAGTAACTTAATATAAATTTCTTTCAAGTGTTATATACACTGTATTACTTACTATAAAATTTAGATTATATTTTTTTTATTTACTTAAGTTACTTATTACTACTAGGCTTATATAATGCCCTTTTAGGCTATCTCTATAGTAAGCTACACTATGTTATAATAAGTTTTAGCATAGCTTTAAGCCTCTTTATATAACATTTACTTATATATAGAAATTAATTACTTAGTCTATTTCTTTTAGTTTTACTAGCAAGTTAGTTAGTAACTAAATTTAATTTTAAATAGTAATAGTGTAGTTATCTTATAAAGTAATATAGCTTATACCTAATCTATGCATAGTAGAATGTCTAACTAGTTATCTTAGTAGTAGTTTATAAAAGAGTGTAAGCACTAGTTAAAATACTAGTCTAGAACCTCTACATTACTATCTATTTATAAGTAGTAAGGTGCTAAAAGCTTTTACTTTATTTTTATAACTTAGTAAAGCTTATTTATAAACTTTAAAGTAAATTAAAAACTTTACTTAAAAATAATAGACTTTAAAAAGCTAAAGAGACACTAGGTATAGTAATAGTATAAGTTAGCTATGTTTTTTACTATTATTATTTTATAGTATAGTAGTAAGAAGTAGCATTTACTTTAGCAGTTTACTACTATGAAAGTGTTATTATACTTTTTTTTATCTAGTAAGAATAACTTAAAGTTTATAAAAACATTTTACTAAACATGCTACAAAATAAGTAGTAACTTAACTAGTTCTAGAGTTTTATCTTAAAGTGTATAGCTTTATCAATAGGCTTTACACACTATAGCTAAGTTAGCAACATTTTAGCTTATGTAGAGCTAGTAGCATTAGTTATGTAGTAGTTTTAAAGTCTTTTTTTTACTTTAGTAAGTAGTTACTTAAGTTATATAAACTATATAAATAAAATAAGTGTATATAAAGTAGACAACTAAAACTACTAGTTTCTTACTATTAAATATAAAAAGCTTTTACTTATAAGCTTTTATAGAATCTTTACTTTATTTTAGGCTTACTTTTATTATAGCTGTAAGCTTATATAGTTTTAGTTTACTTTAAGAACATAGTTAATTAGCGTATAAAGCTTACCTAAAAGTAAAAAAGCTATAAAAGTGTTACTACTAGCTACTGTTATCGTATTTATTGCTAGTAGTTATTTTATAAATTACTAAGCTAAGTTGTTTACTATAGCCTTAATAGTGCTAAAGTTAATCTAGTGTACTATAAAAAAGTATATATATAAGCTACTTTATATTTGTTTTTTTAAGTTTTTAAGTTTTTTTACTTTTTTAATAACATATTTACTATCATGTTGTCAGATATGCGCACCTACTGTCAAGACAGGAGGAACGCTTGACGAAAGCTGCTACATAGTACAAGCAATAAGCTCGAACAGTATGTTGCTGCAAATTGCAGCATGTTGCAGCAAATTGCAGCATTTTGCAGCAAATTGCAGCATGTTGCAAGCTGGTCGCGCATGGGGCAAGTGCGCCAGGGACTCGCATCGGAAAAACAAAAGCCGAGCAACACGAGTAGAGCAGAAAAAGGATCGATAAATCAATACAATCAATCATCATCCTATACATCATATCTAAACCCATCATTCATCTTAGGAAGCCTAGAAACAGTGCTTTAATCTAACACATGTTTATAGTCTTTAGTTAGTACATAAGCTTTAAGTTATAATTAGATACTATTATAGCTTAGTATATCTACTATAGAGTAAGCTTAAACTTAATTAAAAAGTACTCTAACACTTAATAGTTTATTAGAGTGCTAAATAGCTTAGTTATTTATAAGCTTATAAGCTAAGCTTGCTGCTTATATTAGAATTATACTATAATAAGCATTTTTTATTATAAATAATATAGTTTATCTAAAGCACGCTTATAGTCTTTAAGTAAAAGGCTACTAGTTGCTAGAGTCTGTTGTTCTATAGCTAGAAAAGCCTGCCTACTACAACTCTATCGCTAGCGTCTGTCTCCATGCGTGTCTAGCAGTAGGACAAGTAGTGTGTAAGAATAGCGTCTAATAGTATTACGTTTTTAGCTTAATTAAAAGCTACTAGCTTATATTTTTTAAAGTAGTGCTAAGCACTACACTTAAATAGCTTTATAAGCAGGTATATAATACATCTATAGTTTTTTGCAAATGCTTATTAGATGTTGTAAAACCTTAAGGAAAATTATAAGCTTTTAATTAATATTAGTATAGGCTAATTACACACAGCTACTACCTTCTCTAGGTTCTTACACATGCTGTTAGTGCTAATAATTAGTCCTAAAAACTTTATTTTTATATTAGTAAACTTACTTTTTTAAATGTCTACCTAAAAACTAGTGTTTAGTAGTTAATAAGACACATATGTAATATATTTTTATGTTAAAATAAGTCTATTAAGTAGATAAAAATGTTATTAAAGTATGCTACATAAGTATTATTTAGTAAGCTGTGAAGCACCTTATTATTATAGTTCTAGAATATAGCTAGTCTGTTGCATAAGCTAAATAGTAGTACATAGTATTTATAGTTACTAACGTACTTCACAGGCGAGTTGCTCACACACCTAAGTTACTTACTTTTGCTAAGACCCTACTAAACTACTCTTTCTACACTAATGCATTCCCCACAACACTACTTAGACATGCTAAAAAAATGTTAGATACAGCTTACACTTTAAGCTTTTAAATAAGACATAAAACTTTTAAAGAAATGTACTATAGCTATGTGTAAAGTTTTATAAAAGACAATAAATAACTATAGCACTAAATAACCTTTATAAGCTAATTCTATAGCTAAATTACAAAGGCTAGGTAATAAAAAGAAGTAGGTAATTATTAAGACTATACTTAAGCTATATGCGCAAGGAATTTCCTCTTAAATAGCATTTATAGCTAATATAGCTAATTCTTTACGCGCTAAGCGTAATCTAGGCTATGTTTACATAAACTAGCCTAGTATATTTGTAAAGTGTTATTTAAAGCTTAAAGTAACATTTAAGTGTAAGTATAACTATAAGAAAGCTTTTTATAAGAGTTCTAAAGTAATTTAAGGCAGGTTTAGCCTTATAAAGAATATTAAAGCTAAGTATAGCATCTAGAATAATAACACATACAACTTTAGTAAAATAAAGTTTATAATTAGCTAAATATCTTTTAACTATACTTACACTTAAAACTTTACTTTAAGCTTTAAATAACACTTTATAAACATACTAGGCTAGTTTATGTAAACATAGCCTAGATTACGCTTAGCGCGCAAAGAATTAGCTATATTAGCTATAAATGCTATCTAAAGGGAAGTTTCTTACGCATATAGCTTAAGTATAGTCTTAATAATTACCTGCTTTTTTTTATTACTTAGCCTTTATAATTTAGCTGTAGAATTAGCTTATAAAACTTATCTAGCGCTATAGTTATTTATTATTTTTTTTATAAGACTTTACACATAGCTATAGCATATTTCTTTAAGAGTTTTATGTCTTATTTA